AAAAAAAAAAAAAAAAAAAACGACCATTTTAATATTTTGCCATTTTCACGACGAGAACGTGTATAGCAAGCTTTGCTGAATTTTCATGTTTAATGAAAACCGGTCGGGCCGATCTAAGTTTCGCGACAAAGAGACAAATAAACGTAAGAAATGTCAGTTGCGTAACACGTGAGTGAAGAGTTTATTACGACGATTAGAAAATATCGATCAATTTACCCTGGTAGACGAACTCTCGTGGAAACGAGCCGCGGCGCTCCGCTCTAACAAAGTCGTAATAAACGAGATTAAATGTTGATAACCAAGGTCCTTATTCATTATGCCACGCGAGTCTCTGTAAATGAGATTAAACGTGTTGAACCCGTAACAGGGTTCTCTCTACAAGGTACTCGTGGCTCTCTCGAAATGGCACCGGCACCGAAGTTTAACATGGCGGGTGATCATGTCGCGTGTACCGAGCGCTCAAAACTTCTAATAAATTAACTTGAACGTAATAAAATAACAGCGACGATTATCATGCATTTCGATGGTTTATTTAACGATGCTTCTGTTCGTGACATATTAATACGGGAGGTATAATTAAACGCAACAGCAATTAACAAACGCGAAGATATCTCGCAATATATTGTAATTTTCTGCAGTGAATATATATATATATACATTCGTAATTCGAAAAGAGAAGCAGCAGCATGCCTAACGAGAGAGCAATTTGCAACAAGACTGAAATAGAATTGGCAACCTGGAATACATTAATTTACAATTAGCTGTTTAACGGACCTTTAATCAGAGATGTTGAATCTCGTTGAACAGAGTTACGTTCAATGTAAATCATTCGCCTGTTGTTCGTATTATGAATCGATCGTTTCTGGCTTCGCGAGCCAGAAGTTGTTTCTGGTCGCGGCAGACTGAGCCAAAACCTGCTTGCTCCTCTTTCATCCCGACTCGAGATCACTGTGTTTGCAGTGGGGGTTGCCAGCAGGGTTCAGAGCTCTCGAGCAGCCACCTGTTCAAGTGCTAAAGATAACAAAGTGAAGCAAAGCTTCGTGGAAAGCAAATTTATTCCGCGCTTTCGGTCTGCTCTCCGCTTGCTCAAACGTATTTATCCGCCGTATTATTTCTGTACGGTCCTTATACTTGCTATCCTCGTTAATTTGTTAAGCTCGAGTAATACGAAAGAAATTGGATTTATCAAGGAAAAGGTTTTCAGTTTTTAGCGAAAAATGTATCTTCACGTTCACGTGTTTTAAAGTACAAGCGCATGTATGTCAAACAATGTAGAACAATGCAGGAATATCTGAATACGTACACCGTTTCCTAATTTTTCCATTTTACATGCTACGTGAATATTCTTCCGAAAGAATAATGGCACACATTGAACATTTTTGCAAGAGAAAAGAAATTGACGATGGACTCCACCAGTTAATTAATGAGTATCAAAAGACCTTGAGTTTGACTATACGTATGGCTGGTAATAAATTTTGAAATGTATGCAAAATAGCGCTCTTTTTCAGGAGAGCGGTATTTCACAGGACGCTTTGTCGCAGCTGACAGAAACACAATCCACACCAGCTGACTCCACGCCGTGAAATAACGAGCGAGCATCGATAATCGGGCAAATATAATTATCCTTGCCAATGTCGAGGCTTTGTTGTGGCCACATTATGTGCAGAAATGTCGCATGTGCGAGGGGATATCAATTTGGAAGTTACCGCGTGGAGAAAAAAAAAAAGAAATGGCTGGCTGTTGATAAAAGGCGAGCGCCTTCCATCGGGACGGATCCATTCATTGCTCCCGATGTAACGCGAATTATCATCAAAGAGTTACAACCGTTCTGCTTTCGTGCAAAGGTAATTACACGGTCGCTTGCTTGCGGGTTAATATACAGTGAAACACGAGCGCGAACAAAAGAGAAGAATCGTTGCGTAACATGCTCGATACATCTCGTCGCGCGATGCATTTCCACCGATGTGCACCGATAAAGTTCGCTGCTTGTTATTCTTGTTATCGTCGCTTTAATTCCCATTCTCGTACTCGTATGTACACGTAATCTTCGCGAAATAGCTATCGATGAAATTTTCGGCAGGTGTATCCATCCGATCAGATACGCACGCACATGCACAATCTCCGCGCACGTGAAACTCACATGAACGCGAGCGTGCATGCACGAGAAAGCCGGTGAACGGTAAAGAACAGGTATTTAAATGGAAAACCGGATAGTCGATTCTACCTGGCTCGGTAGAGGACGCCACGTCCTCCTCGAGCAAGTGCTTATGTGCCAGACAACTTGCAAGACCCGTTCTCGTCGTCCTTCTCCCGTCCACTCTCTTTCTCGCTTGTTCGTCGATGCACAGACTCGCGCGCTCCGTCCTTTCACTCGCTCGATCGCTCGCTTGTTCACTCGCGCGTTCCACCTGGCTACTTATTTACCTACCCACATAGACACACGCGCATACTCGAACGACTCGGATCTTTCACTCGCTCGCTCATTCACTCGCGCTCGAGGGCCTGCTTCATGACTCGAGCGATTCCTCTCCTTTCTCGTCCGCTTCAGCCGCACCACGTTGCTTCGCGCGCGTGTGCGTGCGCCGTACATACGCTCACCATCTGGCCCAAGCGTCCCCCACTCCGTCGACGAAGCAGCGTTCACTCCCCACTGCGGGCGTTTCGTCGTGCCCCGTCGCGAGTCCCAACTTGATCCCCACCCTAGCCAACGAAACTGCATGAGTAAGTGTCAGAGGCACTCAGTACAGTTACTGACGGCCCGTACCGTGAACGATCGCCGTCGTCGACCGCTGTCGTCGTGTTCGTCGCGCCGAGCATTCGAGGGTTCTACCATGCGTTACTCCCGATAAACGTAACGCTAGCTACTCTTTCTCCCTCTCTACCCGATTCTCAGCTCGCTTCTTCCTTCGTCTTTGTCGTTCGAACCGCTTGCCAAGAGACAGATTTTTCTTGCGACATCCC